ACGCCGCCGCTGCCGCCGCCGCCGCCGGCCGGCCGGCTCCCCGAGGGCGCTGCCCCCGCGGCTGCTCACAGGCGCTGAGAGGGGCTCTGGGCCGCGGCCGCTGCCGTCTCTCATCTCCCTCGCCTGAGCCCGGCCTCGCCTCACAGCGGCTCAACTCTCAAACTTCCATCATGGCTGCAGCTTCCGAGAGGAGAGAACTGAGCGCAGCCGCGTCCCAGCGTCCGATCGTGTATCCTGCCGCAGTGCACAAAGAGTTCCGCCACATCACCGTCCGCCGGACTGCCCGCCCCCTCCGCCACCACGGGGGGGAGCCCGAGTGCCTCGGGAGTCGGAGGGGAGGCGGGAGGCGGACGCGACCGCGCTGGAGGAAGGACAGGGTAGGGCAAGGGAGGTAGGGAGGGGCCGAAGCGAAGTTCGGGTGCGAGCGCCGAGCCCCCAACCTGCAGGCGCCACTGAGCATGCCCAGTGTGACTGTCCGGGGCTCGCTCGGACTTGTTCCGAGGCGCCCGCCAGTAGCTGCACTTGCCGCGGCTGTTTCTGCAGCAACGCAAGACAGGAGGAACGAGCTAAGGCTTGGTCTATGCCCAGAAACCCAGCCGGAGGCAGGGTAGACTGTTGGGTGGGTAGCAGAGCTGAAGGTGAAAGCTGCGGCGAGTGCATTGAGCGGTGTCACTGACGCGAGTCTGAGTTTACCTGTGCACAGGTGCAAAGGACCGGATGACTGCACTGGTCAGTGTACAAGGAAACGCAGGGACGATCCCTATAGTGAGGACACCCCTCCCCCTGCCTTTGCCCCCAGATTTCCCTAGCACTGCCTACAGCCTCACTTTCCTTTTACACCGCTGTCGGATCACAATCGTTCGCAGGGATTTGACTGCAGCAGCCTTTCCGAGAAAACCCACCTCCCGTCCCCTCCCTCCCCGTGTCCTCAAGGTGTCAGTCTTAGCACAAAGAACAACCTCCTATTGTGTCTCCAGTGTGTATCACCTCATCCGGCTCTCTTTCACCGCCCCACCTCCCGCTTCCCCGGCAAGTCGGCTCATTTGCCCTAAAAAAATGAAAGCTCCCAGCTGAGCACGCTGTGAGCGCATGGCCCCTGAATTTCTGTATCCTAAAGGACAACTGTCCAGGTAGACTGAAAGCAGATCTCCTGGGTTGATACACCCTGCAGCCCCTTGCATTGCCCCCTGGAGTGCTGAGCATTTCCCCCACGTCGGGCTCCAGTTGGGTTCACCGCATTGAACTCAAGCTCGGTCTCCAGAGGCTACCTCGCCTCGCCCCGCCCCGCCCCATTTGAGCCGCTTGGAAAACCCGGAGGGGTGGATCGCCCCAGAGCCAGGTTCCGCGCTTCCCCAAGCGGGCGGTGCAAGCTGGAGGCGGGGTTGCTGGGCCGGAGTGTAAAGTACGGGACGGTAGGAAACTGCAGCCCCTGCGAGTGGGCGGGGTCGAGGAGACTTAGGAGGGTTTAAGAGGAGGTGGAGGGATACACAGGCCACAGTCGGAACTACTTTCAGGAGGAGGTCACGTGTGTTCCTAGTTGGGGAACTTTCCAAATTCCCACTGCTCTATGATAGCTGGGAACGCGAGCTTACTTTGCCCGCGGTATTCCCGCTTTGTGCGGGCAGCAGGACCCTAGAGCCTCTTGTGTCGCGGCGGAAAAACTGGCTCAGAGGAGCGATCCACCGGAGTGCTGTCGCCTGGGGAGCTGGTTACACAAGCACCTACATCCAAGCACGTGCCCCCGCCTCCCCGCGCCGCTGGCCGCCGCCGCTGATTTCTTGCGGAGCGACAGTTCCCAAGCTGGTCCCAACCTTCGCCTGCTACACAGAGCAAGCTAAACTGCCGAGACCTGAAACTCCTAGATCTGAATTGGCTAACACTGCGCGTTCCCAACCGTGGAAGAAGGGGTTTGGCCTGGGGGGCAGAGGTCTGGTTCCTCTCGCTTGCTAGTGCCCTTATCCTTAGGGCGAACCTTTCTGGTGCCGTGCTTGTGAGGCAAAAGGTATCTCCTGCAGCAGCCAGCTGCTTGAATTCACCGATGTTGCATCAAACTTCAAGTCACTATCCCTGAGCTGGTGAACGTGCCCCACCTATTTTAAACTTAGCCAAGTGACTTATCTTGTCGGAGAACCTAGTCAATGGCCGTCAGCCCAGAATAAACCTGTCAAGTAGGCTAAAGCCCCGATTAGTTGACCTATCCCCGTGAGAGACCTAATTCAGAAATGCTAAGAATCGAAGCGCTTTTACCCCGACATTGATCAGCTGCAAAGCGAGTTGTCCACCTGCTTAGAGAAAACAGGCATCAATAACACTAATCTAGGGATTTCTTCCTTTTCTTTTCCCTGGGAAGTAGAACTCAAGGAGACAATTGGAGTCCAGAAGTATGAGTTGAGACGTAGGCTGAGGTACTGGATGGTTTTTAGATCTGAGAGAATAAGGATCAATTTACGTGTGTATTACAATAATGGAGACAGTGCCGAGAAAAGTCTAAAGACAATTTATTCAGTGTATGAGACAGAAGATTGTATATGAGCACATCATTGTGGCAGGCAGCCCCTGAAGACTAGAAACCCCTAGAGACCCAGCTTAGAAGCTACGGGCCATTACCTAACTCCAAAACTAATTAAACCAGAGATATTTACAGTGTTCTTAAGAGATCTCGGAGGCTCCATAAAACTTGTCATTTATATACAACATTCTTTTAAGATAGCTCTGTAAGAGTTAGCAACCTGCAAACCTTCAATATTGATATTTATTGGAAGGAAGCTGGTTTTGCGTATTTTCCTGGTCACCCTGGGGGAGGCAAGGGACACAAGAGGAAAGTGAAATGGAGAGCAACCTGGAAAGGATAGGAGAAAGGCCTGCTCTTACTTTGCTTTTCAAAGATGAAAATCCTGTCCACACAGCCTAGTGTGAGCCAGAGACTTCTTTATTTTACAAATAAGTAAAGATAAGGAGTCGCTGATGTGGAGGTGTTCCACTAGTTTTCAAGGTAAGAACTTGAGCTGTGCTCAATTGAATATCAATCCCACTTGGTGGGGAAAGGCAAAGTGAAGATGAAGTTAAATGAAGGGAAGTGGCTTGGGAGGGGTAAAATGTCCGTTTATTTCTCAGGTTGCTGAGCTTGTCCCCAGAGCTCCTGTTATAAGCATGCCCTACTGTACCCCTCCCCCAGAGCCTACTCTATGTAAAGATTACTCTTCCAGCATCTGAGAAGTTCTGAAATCTACTTCCTGGGAAGAAAATGGGTTCATTTATGCCCTGTTGGTGATAGGCACAAGGAGAGAGAAGCCTTTTCAATTCTCAAGGCAGAGTTATTCTGGAGTAAAGAGGGTGTGCATCACCAGCACTAAAGTGCTAGAATATGAGCCTGGCCCACAAGCACTTTCATCATCTGAAGAAAGAAAATGGGAAATAGTTCTGCTGCTACTCTAAATATTAGGTCCCCCTACTTTTCTCTAGTGATGAATGAAAGGATCACCAATGTTGGCAGATATTTGGCCAGCCTGACAGCAATATTGGGTGGTTATTAAGAGTTGCTGAATAAAAACCTCTTCCCCTTCCCAGGGTTAAGGAGGTTCCTGAAGGCAATCCCTTTTCATATTTTGTTTTTCTTCACTTTTTCCTTCTACCCAAGAGACCTCTGTACTCAGTGGTAGAGCTAAAACCTCTAAATAGCTGACCCTATCTAATGGACAGAAAGGTTTTTTTGTTTTGTTTTGTTTGTTGATTTTTCAAGTTCAATGGCAAATATCCGCTTGGCTGTACAGTACACAATACAATACACATTGGTTTCCAAGCACTTCAGTTCTTTACCTGTCTGGATTCAGAACACCCTAGGGAGAAACAGAAGCTTGTAACAATGGGAGAATTATATAAAGCTTCAGGGAGACTAACTATATGGAATAATCAATGAACATCACAAACCAGCTTTAATTATAGTTTCAAACAACTGATTCCAAAACTATTGTTATTATACCCAAAAGAATGTCCAAAGAAAAAAAAAAATCTTTTTTTTTTTTTTTTTTGATAAGTGAAATGACCAGCAACTTGATGTGGGTGATATAAATAGTTGATGTAATCTTTGTTGGTCCTGCTGCTAACATGTCTTTTTTGAACTCTGCACACTATAGTGCCTTTTTCATCTCCCACGTGCTGACCTTTCAAATAGAGATCTAAATCAATGGCTTTAATTTTTAAGCAATTCTCTATTTTTAATCTGTTTAATCACTGTTTTCCAAATAATACAGAATAGAAAAATATAACAATTATAGGTCTGACTTTAAACCACCCCAATTCTTCCAATGGTCTAAAGGCTTTCCCCTTATTTCATTTATCCTAATTACAAGTATTGCTGTACTTTTTAAATAAAGATATTTTACCCAAGACATTTCAACAGAAGGCATTGCTATGGAGCATACAAATAACTATATTCTAAAAGAGAAGTTTCCATTATTGTCCATGACCTCTTCATATCCTAAATCTCTCCTGGAGCTATTTCAGATGGTACTTGTGTCTTCTTTCACATCTCAGAAGTTATCATTGTGAGAAATAAAGGTTGGGTTGGGTGCTCCTGGGAGAACAACAGAGAAGACCAGGCACTTGCTGTGTCCAAGTGGCATTCAGAAATTGTGACTTGGACTAGGGAGTGATAGAAAAGAAAAGACCTAACATGACAAGATAGCTTTGACTTTTAGTTTCCAACCTAAAATTGGCTATTGGATATTCTACTTTGGCCTCCTTAATACTAACTCTAATCTCTAGCCCAATGGAACATATATTTTGCTTATTAGCTCCTCCAGTAAAAGAAAAATATATAATTTCTATATACTAGCAGGTACTGGGACATTTAACAGGTGCTTTACAGAGTAGCCCTCATTTGTCTAGACGGTAAAGCGAGAGTTCCCAAGCTGTTCCCAACTTTCATCTGCTACACAGAGCAAGCGAAACTGCCGAGACCTGAGACTCCTAGCTCTGGATCAGTTAACACTATGCATTCCCAACCGTGGAAGAAGGGGTTGAGCCTTCTGGGTACAGGAGGGATGTTGTTAATAAATTAAGGTTGACCATCACCTCACTCCTTCAAGTCTTCCCCTTTATAACATCTTTCTGGTGTATGAGACATCACTTTTTCTGACAACAAAGAGTACCTTCTTGAAAGAGAAAGTGCTCAAGACAACTTGGTTTAAAGTACCTTTTTTTGTCTGTATTCTTGATGGTACTAGGTCTTACCTCCATTCATTCATTTAATGATTTAATCAACAAACATTTGAGTGTCTATATGTGCCAGTACTATGTTAAACTCTGTGAACAAAGCAATGGCTATGGCATATAAGATCCAGCTTTTATAAAATTTAGTTTCTCTGTTTCGCAACCTCTTCACAGCCCATGGAGTAAAGTTAAAGAATAGAAAATATCCTTAAGTTTGATAACTGTTTCAATTATCTATTGCTGTATAACAGACCACCATAAACTTAGTGGCTTAAAAGAACAACCATCATTTATTTTCTCACAATTCTGCAATTTGGGAAGGGCACAGCTGGATAGTTTTTCTGTTCCCCCATGATATTGGCTGGGGTCAGACATGTGATTGCATTTAGCTGAGTTTGGCTGAGGCTGGAATGTCCAAGAGGGCTTCACCCACATGTCCAGCACCTCATCTGGGGGAGCTGAAATGTCTGGGGACCTCCCTCTCTTCATGTGATTGCTCATTATTCAATGGTCCACCCCAAGCTTCTTTACATAGTGACTGGATCCCAAGGGGAGAAGGCAGAAACTACATGGTTTCTTAAAGCCAGGATTTGGAAGTCTCAGAACATCATTTTCACTGTATTCTCTTGGCCAAAGCAAGTCACAAGGCCAGCCCAGATCCAAGGGGAAAGGAAAGAGACTCTACTTCTTAATAGGAGGAGTGGCTGTGATGGGAGGAATTTTAGCAATCATATTTGGAAACACTCTATTATAATCCACCCTCTGGCCACAAAAATTCACACATACACACCCACACACAGACATGTAAAATACACTTGCTTCCTCTCCCAAATTATCATTCTGTATAGCATTGGCTCTAAGGCCCTGGATCTAGTAACATACATGAGGCCCAGAAGTAGATGAGGTGTTTCAGATGTTGCTCCCCTTCATCTGGAGACCTGTGAGCTAAAAAGGTAAGTTACGTACACAACATACAATGCTGAAACCAGGGATAAGATTACAGCAACAGACACTCCTGATCAAAAGTGGGGAAAATGGAAGGCACTTGGCAGGGACTAGTCCATAGCATTCTTAAGCCAAGCACTGTCATTCTGACTCTAAGGATTTAGTTCTCCATTAGATCTGATTCCTCTTCCTCAGAGTAGTTCCCTAATCCAGTGTTCTTGACTCTCAATTTGGGGTCCAGACTATCAGCTCTGAGTTAATCTTCCTTTTCTGTAGGAAACTGCCTGCCCTTTACAGTTGAATAGCTCCCTCAGGTTCCTTCCTGTCCACATAACTTTGGGTGCCCAAAGGGTTTTTTTTGTTTGTTTTCATTTTGAATTATCTCCTTCTTCTTTAGTCCAAGCTGGTGGAGGTTTTATCTATAAAATTCTCTTTAAAATTTTGCAGATTTTCTGACTCTTATTGGAGTTCACTCCTTATCCACAAAGCAACATCTTTAATTCTTTGAAAACCTCTAC